CAGGACGCCGACGCGGAATCCATCCTCACGAGACTCCCTCAAAGAGGGAGTCCCCCAAACGCGACCCAGAAGGGTCTTACCACCCCCCTAAGCGCGTTCCACCTTACAACTCGCTGGCACGGCCGCTTCCCGCGATGCGCAGGGCGCCCGTCCAGCCCACACTCGCGCGTAATCGCGCGTGGACGGAGTAAACTCCGTCGCCCTCACGTCGTCGTCTGACATTAGCCGCGGCGGGTCAAAGATACTTCGAGCGGCCACGTTGCCCAGGGTGCACCACGAGGAGGTTGCCAGACTTCGCACCCCATTAAACCTATTTCACCTAACCTTATTGAAGTCCATCTTTATCTTAGGGCAATTTAAGAAATGTAGCCTATCTTTTATATTATTTATTAATTTAACAAACTTTATTGACCATTGAATTAGTACAAAAGGCGGGCTTAATGCTATTAGCATTCTCTACCAGTCAACCTTTGGGATACAGATATACACGATGGCGGCATAAAGCTAACTAATAAATATGCTACTTAAACTACACTACAGAAGAATTTATATACAACTAGCTGACCCGACAGACTTCGTCCTGTCAAAAAGATTTGTAATGTGGCAGTTTTTTTGCCTACGTATTTAAAAAAATTCTCCTGAACAGAACCGTGAGTTTCGGAACGCGACATTAAACTCCTCCAACTATGTATTCTGTGCTCCAACGCACACACGCACATTGTTTTGATAGATATGATCTTTGACGTTAGGAACACACCTACATTGCTTAGACAACAGTGAGTGCTTGTAATTTAATATGAACTTTATACCATAGCAATAAAGCTCAAATTGACTACGTTTTAGTTACAAATCATTTGTATGGGAAAAAGAAAAGGGCTATTTTTAGGGTTTTTCCAGCAATAATTCTAATTTTTCTCGCCGTAAAAACCATCCTTGAACTTCAACAAACATTTTAAAAAATGATTTGGCCAAATTGGTCGAGGCGTTGTTGAGTTATGCGCTTACCAACACGTTTTGCGATTCATTTTTATATATATAAGATTACATAAACATAAATAAATATTATACCTATACATATACATGAATATATATACAAATACATATATGAATTATGATACATATACATATGATGATGATTTTCATAAATGCTCTAAGAGAAAAGTGTGAGCTTTCCGTTTAAAAATGAATTTATTAGGAGATCGTCGGATGGTGTGAATTATGAAAACTTTTCTGAAAAGAATACGAATTAAAAACATTTTGTCTGTTACTCCGCAAATAGATATTGTCAATTCGATCTCTAGTATTATGTGATGATTTCATATTTCGATCTATAAATTACTATTATAGAAAATTAATGATTTTCTAAATATCTTAGGTTGTTCATGAATTTTTCTATGAACCAAATTCTTATTATTTGTATTTTCTCTCTTTAAAGAAGAGCTTTATTCCAAAACTAAATTCTTAATATTATTATATTTGATTAATTCCGCATTCACAATGCTATACTGAAACATTTTCTTAATACAAAATGCTTAAAAAATCCCCTTGGGGACCACTTGGCACCCTGAGATGGGAATCGAACCCACGACCTTTTGCAATCCGGGCGACTGCTCTGAAAAAAATCGATTAGGGACCAAGTGGATTTTTTAAGCATTTTTTATTAAGAATTATTATTATTATTCTCCTTTGACGACTTAAGAGAAATATTATTATTAAGACTATCTTTATTTGCATTCCCTACACGTGATTTATGCAAATATTTAGCATTTTCTTTATAAAAATATAAATAATTATTAGAGACATTGACAAAATTATTCTCTTTCGTCAATTGAGACGTCAAAAATTTACATACAATGTGTTTGACAAATAATTGAGGCCTACTAAAATCTATGACAACATTATGAGAGAATAGAAAATCTTGTTCTATTACCATGTCTCGATCAATATTTTTAGCAACATAAAAATCATGAATGAACAGGACATGTTCAATAATAATCTTCAAATTGACTTTACCGATTACTTAAAGATTCACATTGTTTACTGCCCGAAGTGACATATCACATGGCACAATATCGTGACGGAGTACATACGCGGCACGATCCGAATTTACCTAAAATGACGCACCAGTATCAATGAGTGAAATAAATTCTCTATCACGCCACGACACTTTAACAAATGGTTGAAACTCACGTGCATATAATACATTCTTTGAGTGAGGCGGCTGTGTGTCCTCAGCTATAACTTCTATCGCCTCTGCTGCTTTTCTGTGGCATTCATTATTCTTCTTAGTCATCATTGGCTGCGGCTTTGTATTACCTCTTGGACTGAAATTAAAAGGGCGGGGCATCATCTGATAGGGGAGATTTACGAGGGGTGAAAGATGGAGAACTGAAGGTTCTAGTGGGTCGAATCGATGTTGAAGGTCGCTGATCTCCTTGTACGTCTTGTGTGCTAGAGGAAGGAAGAACATCTATAATATTTGTTAATTTGCCAAGTAAATTAATGTCCGCTTCTCCATCTCTTTTATTGTAAATTTCTTTTAATTGTTTGATCACCTCCTTCAAATGTTGTCTATTTGTATACAACCGTGATCCTAAACGTTGCTTGGTTTAGAAATTTGCTACCCCAAAAAAATGTTGGATGAAGCATTTATCATCAACTGCCGCCCCTACTTTACATCCTAATTAATCTAAGGAATAAAAAATAATAGAGTAGGTCCTCAGCTGCACCCTGTCTTCTTGCAAAAAAAAATTCCGAGAGGATTTGCAGTCGATGAGAACACCTCGCTGATTTGTTTCTGAAGTTCCTGAAATATCTCACAATTATCCTTAATCTTATTATAAAATAATACTGCAGGTCCCGCTAAATACGCCGCCAACACTAGTTTTTTAATCGATTCTTGATAACCTATTGCTGCCACTATAATATTAAATTGAGTAAAAAAAATCAGCTACACCACCTAAAAGGTGATGTGGCTGATTTTTTCCTGATCCGTCATATTTCTCCATAATATTCAGCTTTATCGGTTTCTTGTTTTTCGTTTTCGTTTATTATTAATTCTTTAATTATATTCGTTTTGATAGATAGATTTTAACTACGGGAATCGGGAATATCATATGACAGCTGCGTTTAAATAAAGTTTGTTGTGTTTGGGTTTTGATGTCATCCAATATCAAACTTAGGGTTTTGATGATTGTAGGCATTTGGGAGACGTATAGGTGCTTTTATTGAAGTTTTGCACTTGTAGAGTTTCTGCAATGTGAAGAATTCCCTGAGAAGTCTTTGAACAATAGTGTAGTAAATTGGAATTTCATTGCAGGAGCTGGTTTATTAGTAAAAACCGCCTCCTCTACGTTCCTCAAGCAGGTAGGACTTAGGGCTTAAACTTCTTTCTTAAGGTTTTTTTGTTATCTATCATTTTATATGTATCGCAAATTCATTTGTTTATATTTTCTCGTGATGAAGGGAACGAAACAATTACGTGCAACTTTAACAATTACGTGAATGGTCTCAGGAAGGTAACTAATAGTGCCGAGACATGGTGCTTAATATTCAAACGTTGACAATTTAAACAAACTCTATAATTACATTATTAACTAAAACAATAATATTTACAATATAAACATTATTACATTAAAATAATATAAGATATTACGCGTTAAAACGCATAGCATTAGCCACACGCAAGTATAGTTTACGCGATGTACCAGCTACTTAATACCATCCTATTGTTTGTTTTTTTGCAACAATTATAGCGATGCCTATTGAAATGGCCAGTGTAGACTAACCACGGTACGAAGCGCACACCGTACGCTCGCTCCATACAATTTTATCTATTTGTCTGCCCATGCACCGATTGTTATATAAACCATTTTATCATTTCACACCTTCCGAAAACGGAATATTGTCTGGAATTATCAAAGCATAGACACCCACAACTGTACGTCCAATTTGTATCTTAGATAGCAACACGCAATCCTTATCTGTCTGTTTCTTATTAACTGTATTGGACTTTATAATATTGACCTTGACTTACTATCACAAAAAACGTATCTCCAAAAGCAACTTATCTATTGTCGTAACAGGTAGAACAATATTATTTTAAAGAATCAGTCTCGGCTAAAGTTCCTTCTAGTTACTTAGGCATTTCTTTGATAATTATGCAGAAATCTTTTTTATCATTAATATCATTATATAAAATAACTTTTAAGTGTACAACGATAAGATTAGTAGTCGATACATTATTATCGATACGTTAGACCAGCAGTTCCCAAACAATTTGTTTTCGTAGACCTTTTTAAAAAATTTACTTGTTTCGGTGGACCCCCTGCTACTATTTTTTTTTCCGTATTCCCAAAATTCGTCCAAAATGTAAAGATCTAACGATGGAATTTGGCGTCGCGATTGAGTTCCAACCCTAAATTCGGAGTGGTAAAAATAAATAAAAAAAATAGTATATTTTTTCAAGTTTTTTTTTTTAAATCTGGATCTGTACTTTCCAGGAACTCTAAAACTGATTCAAAATGTAACTAAAACCTTTTTAAACACGCACCTTTCGACAACCAGCGTATTTCAGTATGTAAAAGCAATCGTCGGAAGTCTTCATCATTTTCGTCGCGCAATTGGGTAAATAAACGAGTATTCAACGCACTGCTTTTTATTTTATGTACAGCTTTATTCACAAGTTGAAGCGATTGATGCAATCTATCACTCAATTTTTTCGCTACTAGGTGTTGTCGTTGGATGACACAGTGTATTGCGGTTACTCCTGGTATTATTCTTTTTAAGATGGCTTATAAACCCACGATAACCTCCGACCATGGCAGGAACTCCATCTGTTGCCACCGAAATGATTTTTTCTGAAAAAAAATCACCCAGTAGCTTAAATATTGATTCGCCTTTAGTGTCCGTCTCTAAAGTTTTCGCGAATAGCAGCTCTTCATGGATTTCTTCGTACATAATAAATCGAACATATGCCAATAATAATGTTTCATTACCAATTAAAGTTGACTCGTCCAGTTGAATAGAAAACTTTCAATATCAGAGCTCATTTCATCAATACGTCTTTGAACAGTGTTGTTACTTGTAGGAATTCTTTTAAGTACGTCACGTGAAGGCATGTGCAGAATTGTTTTTAAAACCTCTTCAACAGCGGGTAAAATTAACTGTTCCCCGATGGTGTACGGTTTCTCGAATTTCGCAATAAGCAATGAGATATTGTAAGATGCCCGCAAGCCATCATCGTTACTTTGAGACGTTGAAACGAACATACTGTGCTGTCTCTTTTCATTATTTTCCTTTAATGTTTGAAAATATTTTAAATCTTTACATATTTTATCAGGATGGCACCTTCTTAGACCGTCGAGCTTCGATGGTTTCATAGGGTCATTGCTCAAAACTTTGTTGCATAAAAGGCATGTCGGCAATCGTTTATCTGCCTTTGATGAAAGAAAACCAAATTTCCAATAATCAATACTGTACTGCTGACATTTCTTCTTAGATTCGGCCATGTTGTGGCCAGTAAGCTACCTAAAAAATAATCAAGTGTATAGTATAGTATAGCTAGACTAATTTACTTTCTGCCAAGATCTGTATCATCCTACAAAAATAAGTATATAATTACAAACATGCAGGTCAATCATCTATCCCTCCTTTAGTGAATAACTACAGCCGGGTAAATAAATAATTGTATAATAAAAAGTACAAAATAAATCGAACAATGGACCTGTGCAGTATCTAATTTTTATTAGGTACGTACCTACTTCACGCAATCATAACAAATATAATATTATTACAATCAAATAGGCTTTTCCGGGACCGGCAAACACTGACGTAGATTCACTCACACTTTTCTCTTCAAACTTCCGGAAACAAGTGCGTAACGTTTGTTTTTGGCATTCGTATTTATATTGGTGAAGAATCAAAAAAGTTCATACAAGATTGTAAGCACAGCAGAAGTGGTATTTCGTAGCTGTGCACGTCTGAATGAATGATGACGTCTGAACAAGCATCGCGTGCGGGCGGGCGGCGGCGGCGCATTGCAAGTATCGAGACGCGTTGTACTGAATATTGAAAGAGCAAGTTTTTACAAGTAACACACGCTGACCTTCTTAAAATATTATCACCTACCTGCACGTTTACATATCAATGCAGGTAGGCGATAATATTGTAAGAAAGTCAAGCCAACATTTTTGTTGTTTACTATCGAAACCAGATAATTTTAATATTAGATTAATAATAAATTTTCATGGACCCCACTTACAACTTGTGTACCCTATTTTTATTTCACGCCAACGTAGACACCCGTTGGACCCCTGGGGTCCACCTGGATCACTTAGGGAATCACTGCGTTAGACACATTATAAATAATCATAATTTAACAAGTTTAAGCTAGTGGCAACCGCACGGTGACTATGGTGAGGTGGTTGGTTAGTTTATTCTGCGCTGCGTTATGCAGTACAGTACTATGTGTGGAAAGGGAGACTAGAATAGTAGAAATCTCACAAGGACCCGTAAGAGGCTATAAGGACCCTGAATATGGCATCTTCACCTTCTTTGGTATCCCCTACGCGACTGCTCCTACAGGACTAGACAGATATAAGGTATGTTAATTAAAATAATAAAAATCGCGACTGGTTCAGTGCTTTAACGGAGCCAGGGTTAGGAAACTTCCTTGGGCATGGATATTCTATAATTTCAAGCAATAATATTTAAACACAAAGTCGAAATTGTATAGCAAGTACCATCGTTCACTGAATGGAAACCGCAGATAAATTTCAATATTAACAGATAAAACAAAATCCCCTATCAAAACTACTACAGGTAAAAAGTAATATAAATAATTAAATAACAATAATTGTCTAGAATATAAAAAAAACATTATCTGTTTAAGTAAATAATAAGTGAGATTTTTTAATAACCTTTAATGTACGTACTTATAATGTAAAGAAATTATTATTAGCGGAGATAATATATTTAATCAATTCAAGTATATAAAGATAACATTACTTAAAAGACCGGTTGGCTTCATTTGGAACATAAAGTTCATTTAATCACAAGATTAGTTTGATCTTGAAATGTCAGACCATGACTGGCTTATTTTCCTAATGTATATAGGTAGTAGTTGTTAATGGTTAATTTTAAATAACAAATGTGTGTTGTTTTGTATTTAATGGATAAATATTTAGCCTTATATGATAGAAAAAAAAAAATATTACACACGTTTTTGTTTTCAGGCTCCTCTCCCAGAACCATCATGGGTAACTCCGTTCGATGCTGACAATGACAGAATTATATGTCCGCAAGCATCGATTCCCTTATTCGAACCGTTTTATAAAAATGTGGATATGTGGCAAAATTGTTTGATTGCAAACGTATACGTACCCGATACGACTGAGAAGAATTTACCAGTATTGGTTGTAATTCACGGAGGAGGTTTCCAGGTTGGAAGTGGCAACCTTCTCCAGGCGAAAAGTTTAGTTAAAAGTCAAAACATTATCACTGTAACTTTCAACTACCGCCTTGGGGTACTTGGCTTTTTATGTTTGGGTACCTCTAATGTTCCTGGCAATGCCGGTATGAAAGATCAAGTGGCACTGTTAAGGTGGGTGAAGAAGAACATAGCTAACTTCGGAGGTAACCCCGATGACGTCACAATATCCGGATACAGTGCCGGCTCGGCATCAGTGGAGCTACTGATGTTGTCGCCTTTAGCAAAGGGATTATTCAATAAAGCAATTGCAGAGAGTGGTTCAGCTCTCGGATCATTTGCTGTTCAGACAGACCCTCTGGAAAATGCTAAAGTATTAGCGGGAAGGCACAACATAGAACACTTAGATGACGCTTACGCCTTAGAAGAATTTTATAAGAATGCTTCTTTAGAGACACTTATTAGCGATTCTTTCTTTTTTGTGAAAGATTCTACAACATACTTTTCACCGTGTCTAGAGAGTGACGTAGGACAAGAGATTTTCCTTGCTGAAAGTCCGTATAATATTCTAAAAAGTGGAAATTATGAAAAACTTCCTTTACTTGCTGGTTTTGCTGACAGTGAAGGTTTGATGCGAGCTGATATATTCGATCAGTGGAAAAATGATATGAATGACAATTTTTCAGAATACATTCCTCATAACCTTCAATTTAAGAGTAAGTTAGAGAAAGAGAGTGTTGTTAAAGAAATAAAAGAATTTTATTTTGGTAACAAAAAAGTTGGTGATGACACTATATTGGCTTATGTAAACTTTTTCTCTGATGTTGTTTTTCATTACCCTGCACTTAAAGCTGTCGAGTATCACGTGAAAGCTGGAAATAAAGTTTATTTATATGAATATAATTATGTTGATGAATTGACACCAGTTATTCCACATACTGAAGTGAAGGGGGCGAATCATTGCACACAAACTCTAGCTGTTTTTGACGGACTTTTATTTCCTAATATCGCCGAAAATGATTTACCTGAAAACTATAAGAAACATAAAGCCATTATGAGACAACTGTGGGGCAACTTTATCAAAACAGGGTAAGTTAAACTTAAAATTAAGCCGTAAAAATTAAAAACTGCCTTCGCCAACAACTATCAATCGTCTCTGGGCACACGTAATGAGCTATTGCCCATTGTCTCTATTTGTTTCTATCCATAGGGAAGTCTTGTGTTTCATCAGTGACGACGTTAATTGGTTGATAATTATTACGATACTCCACAATAGTCCTCATATTTAAGTTAAATTTTAGAAATGGCTGTAGATAATATGGTCTTTCCCAATCTATAACCCTTATTTCTATCTCAAGATTATCTGTTTCAAATAACAAACACCCTTGTCTCAACTCACCCCAGTATGTGGGGTTTTGAGACAAAATGACTTGTCACGTTTTCAGTCGATATTTCTCTAGAACATACACCTTTATACGTTTTCCTGTTAGTCGTGAGGAAGCGTATGAACCTATCGAATGATTCTTAAATTATAAGTATTTATGGCATTCTATGTGTAAAGCAAAACCTCAAATTTTTCAACTCGCCTCGGCCTCTACTACGATAAAAGACGAATGAAAATCAATTCCGTAGTTTTAGGGCTTATTGCGTTCGAAATTAGTACGTATTTGTAAAACATTAACTGTAAGAAGGATCGAGTAAAACAAAAGTTAATTTGTTACCAGAGCACCTGTCCCGGAAAGTTCCTCACTGCCTTCGTGGCCACCAACGGGGGAGAACGCCTCACCTCACATGTCGTTAGGACAGAAGATAGAATTGCGTGGTTCACTGATAACAGATCGTGTACGGATGTGGGACAAGATCTACAAACAACACTACAGAAAACCCGAAAAAGCTAACCCCTTAGCGTATATTCGGCATTCAGAACTATAAAAACCTTTACCTACCAATATCTAACAATGATGATAAATATTGTAAAAAGTTTTTATATTTGATGCTGATTAAATTAGTTTCATAGTTTCTTATATGCGTAATTTATTTATAAAAACAAGAAAGTGTTTGCATCTTGTATAAAAAAGTGTGATTGAATCTAAAAGTTTTAATTCAATCACACTTTCACACTGCTCCGGATATACGACTTCCCGCCACCGCATCTCGAACAATAATGCCCTTATTGTATTCATAAAATAAGAAGTCCATTTTGACATTTCAAAAACTTAAAAAAAATAGAACCGACTTCAAACAACGCGACGGAGGTTTTCTGTAGGTTATTGATTAATTTATAGGCGCCCGAGTTCGATAGCATTGTCTTGAATAAGTTGCTTTTGAGATAAGTATTATATTTCACTTTTTTAAGTTTGAAGTCGATTCTATTTTTAAGTTTTTTTATTTCATACTTTTAAGTGATATTGATACTTGTATATAATAGGTAACATTAAAAATACTTTTCTGAAAACCGCGTCAAAACCGTGTTTAAGAGCGTACCTCCATTTTTTTAGTCTGTCAATATACCTAAAACCTTCTTAAGTCTGACAAATACTATGGTGAAAATTTTAATGACACCGGAAGCACCAACTTTCCAATAATAAAAAAAATAATCAATAGGATTGGTTCACCCAGTAAAAAGTTATGAGGTAACAAACAGAAATATTTTACTTCTTTATTTAACAGTCAAATTGAGAATCTCCTCCTTTTTTGAAGTCGGTTAAAATAAGATACATCGACATCGATAGACGTCGATGTAATGGGAAATAAATTATTACGAAGCTAATTGATGAAAAAGATAGCATATTTTTAAAATAAAACCGATGCTTAGTAGTACAAAACATTATATAAGTGTTATTATTCTTTTCGAAAAATTTTGTTATTGGACTTAATCATATTTCGAAACGGAAAAGCTATTTCTAGGATAAATACAAAAAAAAACAAGTCATGCACACATGACACACAAACAAATCGATATCTCGTTTTATAATCGATAATCAAATAATTATGGGTAATCAGCAGAGGTCGGAATTAGGTAGAGTTATTTATGTACTTGCATCGAAATGTTGATATTAATGTGGATCTTCCCGGGATTTCTTTATTTCTTCTTTCTTTATTTCTTTCTTTCATTGATGTAAGTTTGGCAACGTCGTGCATGCAGTAGTTTAAATTGTGTATAAAAAACTTTTTATTTAAAAAATCACGGGATTTTTTCTGCTCTTTAAAATTTATCTCGGGATTCCACTTTATTCTTTCGCTGTATGAAATCAGTGTAAGTACATGAATAACTCTACCTAATTCCGACCACTGGTAATCAGTTATAGAATTTGTTTGTTAGCGACACTATTTACGGTCCGATGATATGGGTGAAAAGGAATTGGCGGAGTATTACGCGATTACTCCGCCAATTATGAATCGATTTTCAAAATTTCTTTTAAAGATATTTAATATTTTACTGATACAAAATATTTATATTAAGTACCTATATGTAAAATAGGTCTATCACTAAAAATAATGAAATATTTATTTTAATAAAAATAGGATTGACTTCAGATTTACAAAAGTGATAAATAATAATTATTTTAAAAGCGGTTAATGTTAAAGTAAATAATATAGTAAAATGCAACTATAAACCATATTTTAAAATTACGTTTCACAATATTAGAACTCTTTTCTAAGTAAATTGACGGTTCAATAAAAAGAGAAGTACAAGGTAACATCTCATAAGATACATATGGGAAACAATTGAACAAATGGGAAACCATTAACTATTTATCTATATCTTCATGTCTCCCTGGCGAGGAAGGCAGAGAGTACTGAATGTCACAATGTACGGCCGTTTCATCTATTTTCATAACTGGTTTCATACATACTCTGGGTAAACTAGGCAGATGCCTAGGAACGCCATAGTAAAGCTCAGTGGTGCTGCTATAAATAAAGCTAAAGAAACTTTCCTTTATGCGAAAATGTGAACGTTATGAAAGGTATGTAAGTTTAAAAACAAATCAATAGGTTCATTTTTCGTGGTGAGACCACATGTTAAGAGGATCGCTGAGGAGTTAGCTAGTTTAAGGTATTAGTTGTCATTGCTTGTCGACTGAAGTATGGTTAATATATGGTTACAGAAATAGTCTGTTCTTGTAACAATAATATAATATTATTGATATATTTTTTTAATATAATTAAAAAAATATTTTATTTATGTCTTTTTAGTTTAACAAATTACCAGGTTGGGTCAGAAAGAGAAAAAATAGAGCCCTTTAATTTAATACCCATATTGAAACAAAAAAACATAAGTACAATGGCGCCGTACAGCCGCCATATTTTCTTTTTTTTTGTCACCCATCTACAAATACACGGGTTGCTAAGACGAACATAACGATACCTCAATTATGTAAATCCGTTAAGCGGTTCTGAAGATGTGAGGTAATAATAATATTACATATATACACATAAAAGATACGCGCGAAAAACATAACCCTTCCTTTGCTGTCGGGTAAAAAAGCCCGATCTGCCGCTATTTGAGGTCGGACGTTTTCGATGACGCGACTTTACCTTCTTTTATAATTGGGATGATGACTGATTTTTGTTTATTTGTCCGTCAGGTAGAGTGTTAAAAAATATTAAAGACGTATTTTTTATTTTTTTTTTGTAATCATAAAATTACGGCGTTACATTGAGTTGAAATTTCGCATGACGTCACCTTAGAGTACGTTTTCTACTCAACTGTGACATAGCGAGCCCCCACTCCTCAACTTTAATGCCTGTTAGCTAAGCTATTTCTTGTTAAATTGAAGTTAAAAAAAAATACGTATCTTTTTTTTTCTATTATCTTACTGACGGACCAAATAGAATTGCATTTTTTTTACCCAGTCATCATCCCTATTCTTTTAAAACCAAACATCACTTTAGCTCATAAATCCGGACGTAAGTTTTTAATGACATTTATAATAATAAAAAACAAATGTTACAGTTTTTTATTAATCACATATTAACGTCTTTTTGCCTTGCCTAGCCTTGTTTAACTTACAAACAATATTACAAAATTACAGGGGACATAAAAAAATTACAGGGTCACCATCTCTGTGGTCCTGAGTTCGATTACCGGTAGCAAGGGTCTATGTAGAAAATGAAGTTTTCTGTATTGTCTTAGGTCTATGTCCCAGAACATAGAAAAGTCTGTATTGTATGGTCAGTGTATTTTGATACCTTCGCTGTCTCAGATACTCCACAATAGGAGGGTTTTATCTATTTATTTTCGAAATTAAAACAGTATGATGTTGTCTAATATTTATTTATTTTGCCGGATACGACCCAAAAAGCCAAGTGTCCGGTTATAGCCGGACAGATGACAACCCTACGTCGAATCGTACATCAATAAGACTATCAACACTGGCGATTCCAATTGTCGGTCGGTGGGGATCGAACGCCCCAGTTTTTCGACAAATTACTTGCAACAATACCCGTTCAGATTAATTTGTGCCGAAGCAAGAGTTTTATTGAAAGAAATTGGCGGATAGAAAAGTTCCGCAGTTGGTGGGCAACTTGTGAAAAGTTGTTTCATTACTCACCGCTACTGCGCCGAGGGGCATTTTGATGGCTCATATCTCGACAACCTAATTTGATAAATGCTTTTGTTTGTTTTGTGGAAAGTAAAATTGTGCTATCTTAGTAAAACAAATATGAAAGTATGGTTTCCAATAAATGAGAAATCCTGTAACATAGACTGACAAAAATCTGCAAGAATTTTCTAAAGCTGATGTTATATATAAAAAATGATATTTCAGTATGTACTAAGGACATTCATCAGGTGCACATGCCGTGCGATTCTGTAAACACGTTTCGAACTTTGTAAAACTGAATCCGCGATAAGATTCAAATTTCGAATTCTGTATACCTAACTCAAAAACACCGCTGGCGCCACATTGTCGATTGCGAAGTTAAATGAAGCCTCTTTTATTAATTTCATCTAAAATAGTATTGGCAACATGCCATACCTCAATATTTATTTTTCTTTATTCACATTAAATAATCATATATCCAAAAGTTACAAAGACACATTGGATACATAGATCCTATGTGACTTTGTAATTTTAATCAATATTTGCATGGCTAAATGGGCTGAACTCAAATTGTAATTTACAATGTACCTCAGTTAAAAGCAGATAAATTATTATTATTATTATAAACAATGAAGATCAAACTATATTATTGAGATAATTATATTAAGTGTAGAATATTCTTTTGATCCCGTTTTTTTTTACAAAACAAGATTATTCCATCCCATCCCAATGCCATTTCGAAATTCACTTTACTTCACTTGTGCCAAGAATTGTATAGAGAATACCGCAGAACAGAAAAAAGAGTAGAAGTCGCAAGTGGGCGTTCCCCACAGAAATATATCTAGTTAGAAGGAAAAAGTGTACGTACTTCGCGTGCCCAAACGACGTCTAGACAGCTTCATTGCTCGCCGCGAGGCTCAGTCCACTTTCGATCGCAATCGGTGTTGGACGAAATTTAAAATGATGCGTTGTTCGATAATTACCTGCTCAAACACCACCAATATGGTTGGATCTTATAGTCGAGGTATTTCCTTCCATCGGTAAGTACCTATTTGCCTTGATATATCTATTTTGAATTAAAAATCATTAGTTTTGTTGCTCCGTATTATTTTTATCAAAACGGTCATGTGTCCAGTAATAGCTTTCCATTGCGGCTTTAATTTGACAGTCCAAATTTGCTGTGCTTGTAAAACCATCGATGTATAATTCAAGGTCAATTTGTTGGAGGACAAATTATCATTTTTTTCTGTCAAAAATGGAGAATAGTGCTGTACAATGCGATTTTTTTACCCGATTAAAAATATATCGTTTTTGAAAGCAGAAGAAAGGATAATTAATTTTATATTGAATCATACTATAATTTTTGTTTTAGTTTTCCGTATGATCCTAATATTAAAAATAAATGAATTGAAGCAACAAGACTCTAAGGCAAATAGTAGGTATACTTACTGGACATGGAAACTTTAACAAACACCTATATAACATGGGTTATTCTGACAGTCCTCTGAGCAGGGCGTGCATGGAGACTGAGGAGATTGTCTCCTCAGTCTCCATTCCAGTATCACATAAGCGCTTGTGCACTCATGTGATACTGGAATGCAGGAGCCTATTAAGACAAAAGGACTACATATCTATGAAGCCCAAGGATA